TCAGGCAGTTGTTTATCTCCTTGACATCTGATGGGAGGGCGTTCCACAGGGCGGGCGCCACCACCGAGAAGGCCCTCTGCCTGGTTCCCTGCAACCTCGCTTCTCGCAGGGAGGGAACCGCCAGAAGGCCCTCGGAGCTGGACCTCAGTGTCCGGGCAGAACAATGGGGGTGGGTTGTTGTTGTTTGTTTAGGGGGCGAGAAGGGAGGGGGGAAATGGAGGGAATAATAATGATGATGTATTTTTGATAAGATTATTGTGTTGAAATTGCCAATATTTTTTTTTTAAAGAAGGTTTATAATTAAACTGAGGGTGAAGAATAAAGCATGTGCAGAGAGTTGGGAAGGAGGCCACAGTTAGGGATGGAGGCTGGTCCCATCTTCCTTTAATTCTGTTTCTGCTGCCTCTGTCTCCTGCCCCCGCCCCTCCTCCCCACTTGCTTGAAATGAGGCCTTAGGGAAATGACTTCTGCATCTCCAAAGCTGTAATTGACCTGGCAAAATCCATCGGCAAAGAACTCCTTGCATCTGAGAAGCTTGGCTTGCCTTCAAGAGTTTTCGGCACCGGCTCTCCCACGAACCGCGTTTGAAATTGCTTTGCTGGTCTCCAAAGCAAGACTCTGCGGCCTTGGAAATATCTCTGTGTCAGCAGCTCAGGCTCACAGTGCTCTGGTAAAGGTAAACGGACCCCTGATCATTAGGTCCAGTCCGTGACCGACTCTGGGGTTGCGGCGCTCATCTCGCTTTATTGGCCGAGGGAGCCGGCGTACAGCTTCCGGGTCATGTGGCCAGCAGGACTAAGCCGCTTCTGGTGAACCAGAGCAGTGCATGGAAACACCGTTTACCTTCCCGCCAGAACGGTACCTATTTATCTACTTGCACTTTGATGTGCTTTCAAGCTGCTAGGTTGACAGGAGCTGGGACTGAGCAACGGGAGCTCACCCCGTCATTGCGGGGATTCGAACCACCAACCTTCTGATCAGCAAGTCTTAGGCTCTGTGGTTTAACCCACTGCACCACCCGCGTCCCTTTTTTGTGCAGAGTAGACCTACTTAAAAATTGACGGTCCTGCTTAACCTTCCTCACAAGAGGACACACATGAGTTAAATTCCGCTCGGCTCAATAGGATTCCTCGCAGGCCCATCCCTGAATCCTTTCGATGGCAGGTGATTGACAAGCCGCCCCCCCGCCAACTGTCAAATGTCAAATGAGGCCAATTCTGACAAGGATGTGGTCCATGGGGCCAAAAAGGTTTCCTACCTTAGCACAGCGAGATTGGCAATGTTAGAGGGTGGGGCAAAATGTATACAGTGGTACCTTGGTTCTCAAACTTAATCCGTTCTGGAAGTCTGTTCCAAAACAGTTCCAAAACCAATGCAAAACGGATTAATCCATTCCAGACTTTGAAAAACAACCCCTAAAACAGCAATTGAACATGAATTTTACTATCTAATGAGACAATTGATCCATAAAATGAAAGCAATCAATGTAAAAAGGTAAAGGGACCCTGACCATTAGGTCCAGTCGTGGCCGACTCTGGGGTTGCGGCGCTCATCTTACTTTATTGGCCGAGGGAGCCGGCGTACAGCTTACGGGTCATGTGGCCAGTAGGACTAAGCTGCTTCTGGTGAACCAGAGCAGCGCATGGAAACACCGTTTACCTTCCCGCCGGAGCGGTACCTATTGATCTACTTGCACTTTGACGTGCTTTCAAACTGCTAGGTTGGCAGGAGCAGGGACTGAGCAACGGGAGCTCACCCTGTCGTGGGGATTCGAACCGCCGACCTTCTGATCGGCAAGTCCTAGGCTCTGCGGTTTAACCTACAGCGCCACCCACGTCCCATACCTATTAGTTATACATAACAGTATATACTTTTGTCACTACTCATTTATCCTAATTTCCCCCCCCTTCCTCCCTCCCCCCAAAACTTCTTCTCCCTTCAGATCTTTAACCATGTGCTCAGATTATTCATTCTAATTTGGATGCTTGGCTTGGCTTCTTGGCTTCCACAATCACACCATCACACAATCAATCAATCAGTGGATGAACTGGGTTCCACACAGTCACAAAAACAAATGAACCGAAAAAGCCTCAGAAACAAAAACGCAAAATAAATAGCAAAGACAAAAGCGTTAAACTTAATCCGTTCCAGAAGTCCGTTTGACTTCTGAAATGTTTGGAAACCAAGGCACGGCTTCTGATTGGTGCAGGCGCCCCGGAAACAATAGCCGACAGCCACATCGGACGTTCGGCTTCTGAAAAACTTTTGAAAACCGGAACAGTTACTTCTGGGTTTTTGGCATTTGGGAACCAAGGTACGCTGTATTATATATTTATATAAAAAATTCTAGGGGTTTCATTTTCACCCTCTGCAGGCTGCCACCTTCTTGATTACTGTGGCCAAATGTCAGATAGGCCATGTTGGGACGGAATGTGTGTATATTGTCTGGGTGGAAGATCTATTTTCCTCCCGCAAAGTGTTACTCAACAGGTATCGGCAGGAAATGTTTGAAAACTGATGAACGACTATTATCGATGGATAGAAGAGGATTTACCCTACTGAACTATTTTGAGGGCAGGTTATAAAGGTAAAGGAAAAGGTACCCCTGCCTGTACGGGCCAGTCTTGACAGACTCTAGGGTTGTGCGCCCATCTCACTCAAGAGGCCGGGGGCCAGCGCTGTCCGGAGACACTTCCGGGTCACGTGGCCAGCATGACATTGCTGCTCTGGTGAGCCAGAGCCGCACACGGAAACACCGTTTACCTTCCCGCTAGTACGCGGTCCCTATTTATCTACTTGCACCCGGGAGTGCTTTCGAACTGCTAGGTTGGCAGGCGCTGGGACCGAACAACGGGAGCGCACCCCGCCGCGGGGATTCGAACCGCCAACCTTTCGATCGGCAAGCCCTAGGCGCTGAGGCTTTTACCCACAGCGCCACCCGCGTCCCTGAGGGTAGGTTATAACGATGTACAAAAGCCACAGCAGAAATTGGTAATTGAACCGGCGATGTGTAGGGAGAAGGGATGAATGTACCGTATTTTTCTCTCTATAAGACGCACCAGACCACAAGACGCACCTAGTTTTTGGAGGAGGAAAACAAGAAAAAAAATATTCTGAATCTCAGAAGCCAGAACAGCAAGAGGGATCGCTGCGCAGCGAAAGCAGCAATCCCTCTTGCTGTTCTGGCTTCTGGGATAGCTGCGCAGCCTGCATTCGCTCCATAAGACGCACACACATTTCCCCTTACTTTTTAGGAGGGAAAACGTGAGTCTTATAGAGCAAAAAATACGGTATTTTGAAATGATATTTGGAAAAGTTACTTTATTGGGAGCATGCAATGGAGGGAGGAAAATAGAGGGGACATTTTGCTGGGGGTGGGGGAGTCAGCTTTTAAATTTGTCTTGAATTTGCATTAATTTGGTGACGATTTGTTAAAAATTACGGGAAATCAAGAAAAACAATTGACAAAGACATAAATAAAAAGCTTTCCCACTTGGGCATTAGGACTGCAGGCAGCAATGGGGTGGCAGGGGGTCGTTCGCCATGTCAGAGGAGTGTCAACAAAAGCAAAATTCCCTGCTCTGCAAAGGGAGCAGATGGAGGCACACCAGAAACAATCGGATTAAATTCTTTTGTGCCAGAATGAATTGTCCTTCCACCTGCTCTTCAGGACGGACAGACGGAGGCGGCGCTTGGATTAACTCCTGTTGCAAAACGATACCAGGACGTGTGCGCACGCAACGAAATGTTGCAGCAGATAGTTCTTCTCCAGAGAAAACCAATTTGCATGAATAATACAACACAACTTTACCACATCACCAATCAATTGTTGTTGTTGTTGAGTCGTTTAGTCATGTCCGCCTCTTTGTGACCCCATGGAGCAAAGCACGCCAGGCCCTCCTGTCTTCCACTGCCTCCCGCAGTTTGGTCAAACTCATGCTGGTAGCTTCGAGAACACTGTCCCACCATCTCGTCCTCCGTCGTCCCCTTCTCCTTGTGCCCTCCATCTTTCCCAACATCAGGGTCTTTTCCAGGGAGTCTTCTCTTCTCCTGAGGTGGCCAAAGTCTTGGAGCCTCAGCTTCAGGATCTGTCCTTCCAGTGAGCACTCAGGGCTGATTTCCTTCAGAATGGATAGGTTTGATCTTCTTGTAGTCCATGGGACTCTCAAGAGTCTCCTCCAGCACCAGAATTCAAAAGCATCCATTCTTTGGCGATCAGCCTTCTTGATGGTCCAGGATGATGGGAGTTGTAGTCCACCAACATCTGGGGACCCACAGGTTGAGAACTGCTGGTCTAGGATGCCGTCCAGCCTGCCAACACCCCCTCCCAAGAGGCTCCATTTCCCCTCCCCTTTTCCACCCCCCTCCTCCAACAGGCACTGTTCTGTGGCAGCTGAGCATGCTCAGTCTGTGTACTTTCCCCCAAAGAATTCTGGGTACTGTAGTTTGCAAAGGGTGCTGGGAAGTGGAGGTCAGTGAGGGGCACAGTACAGTGCCCAGGATTTTTTGGGGAAAGTGTAAGACTTCACTGGTAGCTTTGCCAACTTTGTTTGGGCAAAATACAGGATTGGGGTGGGGTTTTCCCACCAGGTGCTGAATTAATTTCAAAGCACATGAAAATGTTATATAGATGGTATCTAAACACCGAGTAAATTGGCTGAAATCTATAAACCCAAATCAAATAAGTGTTGGAAATGCAAAGAGAACGGAGGTATTTTTTCTAGTCATATGTGGTGGTCTTGTAAGGTTAAGGCTTACTGGGAAATGATATATAATGAATGGAAAACAATGTTCAAAATGACATTTGTAAAAAACAAAACCCAGAAGCTTTCCTTTTGGGAATTATAGGGCCAGAACTACCCAAATTTATTCATTTGTGCGACTACAGCGGCAAGAATGTTCTTTGCCCCAAAATGGAAAGAAGAAGCCGTCCCAGTGAAAGAAGAATGGATACAAAAACTTACGGAATATGCAGAAATGGTGAAACCTACCGGGGAAAAATAAGAAATCAAGATAGCAAACTTTTATAAAAGAATGGAAATGGTTTATTGAATATTTACAAACACACCGTAAACAGATAAGGACCTTGGCAGGATTCTTGTAATAACCTGCAGTTTCAAAAGAGTGTACATTTAAAGCAGTTGACTAAAAAAATAAGTTAATTTAGAATATGCAGGAAATGTAAAAATAACAATAATTAAGGAACAGCAGAAAGAGGTTGCAGGATGCGACCTGCTGATAAAATAATGGCCATTTATAGCTTATGAAATCCGCAAGACAACCAACCCGAACTGACTAATTTGGATTAACTGAGTTGTGGGCTTTGTCATGCCAGCAGAAGGCGGATAAAACTCTGCTCCCCCCCTCAAAAAAAAACTCCCAATTTTTGAGCAGCGACAGATGGGCTCCAGCATCATTGCTGCCACGAGTGACACGCCACCCCCTCCTCTCCTTTTCTCGTCCACGGACTTTCTGTGTTGCCCACCAGAGTCACGACTCAGCCCTGGGCGACGCAGCAGCCACTGTTTCCCTCTCCCGGTTCTGCAAAGATGAGTTTCCTTCTCCCAGTGCCACCTTTTCGCTTCTGCAATTGATGCTTGTGTCTCCATAGGAACCGTCTGGGGGTGTATGAGAAGGACAGTTTTCCTCCTTACGGTCTCCTCCGGGGAAAAGCGGTGCCTCCTTCATCCTTAAGATGACAAGCGACGGGCAGCGAGGCTGATGGACGGGCACTGCGTTGCCCAACAGGTACGTGCCACACTTTTTTCTCGCCCTCCAGAAGTTTTGGGCAATAGAGGGAGGCGGGCGGAGGAGAACCCGGTTTGGTCCGTATTTTAAGCAGAGCCACGCGATGGGCTAGAAGCGGATCGGAACGTCGTCGTTCTTGGAATTTTGCACCTCTCTGAATTTTGCGACGAAAGAATGTGCAGTTCTGCACACTCCCCCCTTATTTTATGATAAATACTGAGAAATACTTAGGTTTCCAACCATTTATGTATCCAGGCAGTTTCTGATGTTAAGACTACCCATTAGTAGGACTAATTAGGACTAATTGAATTTAATTGGCGTGCTCGCTAATTTAAGTGGCTGTACTCCGAGTATAATTTAGCGGGATACCGCGCAAAATATGTCTTTAAATGCCTGGGGTTGTATCCAGCTGGCTAATAAGACCCTTTAAAAGGAATTAAGCCAGAATAGACATGCCTATTAACTTTAATGGGTCTACTCTGAGTAGAGCTGGCATTGGATACCACCCATATTAGTCAGAACAGACCCACTGAAACGATCGGGCTTTAGTTAGGCATTGACATCAATGGGTCTACTCTGAGCAGGACTTATTTGACTGCAGCTTATTTGACTTTTTGTGATGAAATATGTATTTGAATATAAATCTTGTCTGTCCTTTTTTGTTGTTGAAAACACACACACTATTAATTTGGACATGGAACGGAGTGAAGCTACGGACGCTTGCAAGATTGACTTGGATTGGGAACAGACTGATCTGTCCAACTCAAGCTGTATATGACAGTAATTTCCTGAGTTGTGTGCCAGGGCATGAGAGAATGGCTTGATTATTGCAAGGAAGAAATGTTTTCCATTAAAAAAAAGTTTCTGGGACTCCTAAAGCGGGAGGTTGCTTGTTGCACCCCTGAATGATTTTTTGCTCTGAAGTAGTCCCCCCTAAAAAAACACACGCTTTTTTGGGCACAGCACCAAAAAAATGCACATTTAGGAGCTTTGTGCGAGGTCACAGCCCTGAAAACAGTGCTTTTTTCGGGGGAATCGCTTGCAGGATCAAGCGTCTCACTTGGAGCTGTCCTTGGTGCTGAAAGTGTTGAGGAGCCAGGCCTGAGCCCTGACGCTGGCAGAGGGGATCCCACAGAACCACCTCCTGCAGAACCAAGGCGCAGGATATTTCCAGGTCCTTCACATGTGCATTCCCCTGATTGCCAGTCCAGTGACACAGAGAGAGGACCAGGTGGGATGCTGTGGAGCATGTAAAGAGTGCCTGTCCTCAGACCAGAGTGTTGGCCCTTAAAGAAACTAACTTCCTCTACCCCCCAAGGTCTAGGAGAGGTAGTCTGGGGAGAGAGACTCCATGTGATGGCCTGGGATTCGGACTCGGAGGCTTAACCTGAGGAATCCCAGCCTGCACAGGAGTCCCCGCCTCCAGAACTAGCTGAGCCAGGGCTGGGGCATGACCCTGAAGTTGTTTAACCCACAGAAGGTAAAATGCCGTTTACCTTCCCGCCGGAGTGGTGCCTATTTATCTACTTGCACTTTGACGTGCTTTCGAACTGCTAGGTTGGCAGGAGCAGGGACCGAGCAACGGGAGCTCACCCCGTCGTTGCGGGGATTCGAACCGCCGACCTTCTGATCGGCAAGTCCTAGGCTCTGTGGTTTAACCCACAGTGCCACCTGCGTCCCTTTGGAGGAGGGTGCCTGTTGCCTACTCTTAAACCCACGAATCCACGTTCACCTTTTTTCCAGTCCAGCAAGCGGTTCAGAAAACGTCAGGTAGCTCCCACTACCATTTGTGTTACTTGGGGACCTTACCCGATGGGTCACCATCTTCCAAGCAATCAGGCCTCAGGCTGAATCAAAATTACTTTTTGTGCTTTCAATTCTGCCTGTTTTTAATAATCTGATCTGCATGTGTCATTGAAATCTTGGCTTGTCACAGAGCGGAGAGCCATTTCGATTTATTTATTTGCTCCTCGTCACCTCCTGCCTTTGCACCAAATGGTACTTGTTGAGTCCTGGTTCACACGCGAAGATCGGCCAAATAACCAAACTCCCACACTGTGCGAAAAGTGATCAATTCAGTCTTGCATGGGGCTTTCTAATGATTCATGCGCGAACGTCAGTAGTGTTCATATGGGGGAAGAGTGGAGGACATGCTACATAGAAAAAAAGACTCCGTACCAAAATTTGCATTTTTTAAAAATAAAAAAAAGGAATGTGTCAGTTCTGCTGCAGAAGAAGACTAGATAATTCGGAACTTCACAACCTTCACAAAATAGTGTTGCTAACCGTAGCCTTGTTCTGTCTGCGTGCATTTAACTCCCCTGTTTCGGAGCGAGATAAAACGTCCTGCATTTAGGGGGATAAAATGAAATATCTCAAGGCCACGAGTTCAGGAAAAAGGACTTGGTTGTCCTAATAGGGCATAAACTGACCTGTGAGACAACAGTGCTATTCGGCTGCTAAAATAACTAATGCCAACAGAAAGATAGGGTCCCGGTGGTCAGAAATAATGTTTCCTCTCCACACTGGCCAGGCAGTTTCCCCTGGTTTCACATGTCCAGTTCTGGGTGCTCCATTTTAAAGAGGACATGGAACGTCCGGGGCAAGTCCACAGGAGGTTGGCCAGAGTGAAGAGGGGTGGAAAAATTGGGTGTGTTTGAGATATTGGCTGAATATTAAAGGTAAAGGGACCCCTGACCATTAGGTCCAGTCGTGGCCGACTCTGGGGTTGCGGCGCTCATCTCGCTTTACTGGCCGAGGGAGCCGGCGTACAGCTTCTGGGTCATGTGGCCAGCAGGACTAAGCCGCTTCTGGCGAACCAGAGCAGCGCACGGAAACGCCGTTTACCTTCCCACCGGAGCGGTACCTATTTATCTATTTGACGTGCCTTCAAACTGCTAGTTTGGCAGGAGCAGGGACCAAGCAACGGGAGCTCACCCCATCGTGGGGATTCGAACCGCCAACCTTCTGATCGGCTGAATATTAGAAAGTCCCTAATGGTAAGAGCTGTCAGGCAGTGGACAGGGGCGTGCAATATTTCACCCCAGATATTTCAAGCTGAGACTAGGTATCTGTTTCCCAGGGATGCTATGTTTGCAGCTTGTACCAAGCAAGAGGTTGAATTGGATGTAATAATAATAATAATAATAATAATAATAATAATAATTTTATATATACCCCGCCCATCTGACTTGGTTTCCCCAACAGCAGCTCCGAACAGAACATTAAAAACACGATAAAAGATCAAACATTAAAAATGTCCCTAAACAGGGCTGCCTTCAGATGTCTTCTAAATGTCAGATAGTTGTTTATTTCCTTGACATCTGATGGGAGGGCGTTCCACAGGGCGGGCGCCACCACCGAGAAGGCCCTCTTCCTGGTTCCCTGCAATCTCACTTCTTGCAGGGAGGGAACTGCCAGAAGGCCTTTGGGCTGGACCCCAGTGTCTGGGCTGAACGTTGGGGGTGGTGATGCTCCGTCAGGTATACTGGACCGAGGCCGTTTAGGGCTTTCAAGGTCAGCACCAACACTTTGAATTGTGCTCAGAAACGTACTGGGAGCCAGTGTAGGTCTTTCAGGACCGATGTTATGTGGTCTCGGCGGCCATTCCCAGTCACCAGTCTAGCTGCCGCGTTCTGGATTAGTTGTAGTTTCCGAGTCACCTTCAAAGGTAGCTATAGAAGACATCTGAAGGCAGCCCTGTTTAGGGCAGTTCCCTCCCTGCGAGAAGTCAGCTTACTGGGAACCAGGCAGAGTGCCTTCTCGGTGGTGGTGCCCTCCCATCAGATGTCAAGGAAATAAACAGCTATCTGACTTTTAGAAGACACCTGAAGGCAGCCCCGATTAGGGAAGTTTTTAATGTTTGATGTTTTACTGTGGTTTGAATATTCTGTTGGGAGCCGCCCAGAGTGGCTGGGGAAACCCAGCCAGATGGGCGGGGTATAAATAAAATGTGGTGTCCCCTCCCAACTTCACGATTCTCTGAGAGGCACTCGGGGAGCTTATCCCTGATAGGATGGATCTCTTTTCCGACTCAGCGGGTGTTTTCAATCAGCTGCCGTGTTTCCCCCAAACGAAACCTTAATCCCATAAACCGGAGCCCTGGCTATCTCCAAAGGTCAGGATTATAGATTAACGCAACAGAAGGATTACAGCGAGGGGCGGCAGGTTGCTAGAGATGGTAAACTCTGTTCTCATAAGGCGATGCGATGAGGGCAATCTGAACTGGAGGCGGAGGAGGCTTAAATTCTGGATTTCAAACATCCCTCCTGTACCCTGGGCACGCTTAGGAAAAGCGTTCGCTCTCCCCGTGGAAGATTTAGGGTTCTTTCGCAAGGACGGCAGCAAATCGAGGTGAGGTTTGGGGAAGCTAAGCTTTGCATGCCGATAAGATCGACTCTGGCGGGGTTGGGACATGGAGGGTGAGATAGCAGAGCGAAAGGACACCTGCTTTGCATGCAGAAGGTCCGGTGTGTGGCATTTCCAGGTAAGATATCGAAAGGCTCTGGTTTGAAACCCCCTGCTGCTCACATGGATTTAGGAGCATGAGAAGTTGCCTTGAACAGAGTCAGACCTTTCTTCGATCTAGCTCCAGACTGTCTTTGTTGTTGTTTAGTCGTTTGGTGGTGTCCGCCTCTTCATGACCCCCTGGACCAGAGCACGCCAGGCACTCCTGTCTTCCACTGCCTCCCACAGTTTGGTCAAACTCATGCTGGTAGCTTCGAGAACACTGTCCCACCATCTCGTCCTCTGTCATCCCCCTTCTCCTTGTGCCCTCCATCTTTCCCAACATCAGGGTCTTTTCCAGGGAGTCTTCTCTTCTCATGAGGTGGCCAAAGTCTTGGAGCCTCAGCTTCAGGATCTGTCCTTCCAGTGAGCACTGAGGGCTGATTTCCTTCAGAATGGAGAGGTTTGATCTTCTTGCAGTCCATGGGACTCTCAAGAGTCTCCTCCAGCACCAGAATTCAAAAGCAACAATTCTTCGGCGATCAGCCTTCTTGATGGTCCAGCTCTCACTTCCGTACATCACTACTGGGAAAACCATAGCTTTGTCGGCAAGGTGATGTCTCTGCTTTTTAAGATGCTGTCTAGGTTTGTCATTGCTTTTCTCCCAAGAAGCAGGCATCTTTTAATTTCGTGGCTGCTGTCACCATCTGCAGTGATCATGGAGCCCAAGAAAGTCAAATCTCTCACTGCCTCCATTTCTTCCCCTTCTGTTTGCCAGGAGGTGATGGGACCAGTGGCTATGATCTTCGTTTTTTTGATGCTGAGCTTCAGACCAGGCTCACCTTATCCATACACAAATATGCCCTTAAGACAGGATTTGCAAGCAAAAAGACCATGGGAAGGCTTTCCCCATTTGCCTCCCTTACTGCAGAGGAATATTTGAGGTCATTGGGAGAGTCAAAATGGCATCAGGATGGCTCTCCTGTACTATTTCAGACACATGGCTCATATATTTAGATATGTGTGCATTTATGAATATTTATTCGATATAACAACTGCTACTTATAGCAACCCCTCTCTCCCTCCCCCCTGACAAAAATCTCCTTTTGGAAACACATGCAACCCATTTTAATTGTGTTCCCTTATCTCCATCTCTCTGTCTCTCTTTGTCTCCCTCCCCATCTTATACTGTCATTAATATCATTTATTTTTTTTAAGTTACTAAGGGAACAGGACTTTTAATAAACGCGGATGAAATTGAGTATTTCAAGCAAAATGAAGCTGAAGTTCTTGCTGGCAAAGGAACTGTTTATTCCGTGAAATACAAAATGAAAATTTAAGGAAAGGAGGAGTTGAGTGGGCGATTGGGGGGAAAAGGCATTATATATGCTTTTCATTAGCCGTTGGAGAATTCGCCTTTAAATCGAGGTTTTCTTCACACTCTGGGAGGCTCCCAACAGAATATTAAAAACACGATAAAATGTCAAAGAACAAAAACTTCCCTAAACAGGGCTGCCTTCAGATGTCTTCTAAAAGACAGAAGGTTGTGTATTTCCTTCACATCTGATTGGAGGGCGTTCCACAGGGCGGGTGCCACTACCAAGAAGGCCCTCTGCCTGGTTCCCTGTAACCTCACTTCTCGCAGGGAGGGAACCGCCAGAAGGTCCTTGGAGCTGGACCTCAGTGTCCGGGCTGAACGATGGGGGTGGAGACGCTCCTTCAGGAATACTGGGCCATTTAGGGCTTTAAAGTTCAGCACCAACACTTTGAATTGTGCTCGGAAACGTCCTGGGAGACAATGGAGGTCTTTCAGGACAGGTGTTATATGGTCTTGGCGGCTGCTCCCAGTCCCCAGTCTGGCTGCCACATTTTGGATTAGTTGCAGTTTCCGGGTCACCTTCAAAGGTAGCCCCACGTAGAGCGCATGGCAGTAGTCCAAGCGGGAGATAACCACAGCATGCAGCACTTTGGTGAGACAGTCTGCGGGCAGGTAGGGTCTCATCCTGCGTACCAGATGGAGCTGCCCTGGACACAGAACTGACCTGCGCCTCCATGGACAGCTGTGGGTCCAGAATGACTCCCAGGCTGCGCACCTGGTCCTTCAGGGGCACAGTTGCCCCATTCAGGACCAGGGAGTCCCCCACACCCGCCCGCCCCCTGTCCCCCCCAAAACAGCACTTCTGTCTTGTCAGGATTCAACCTCAATCTGTTAGCCCGCCATCCATCCTCCAACTGCAATGACCTCCAGGCTGCTCACCGCGTCCTTCAGGGAAACAGTTACGGTGTCTTACAACCCATTCATTGTCTCTTTTGCAGCCTCTCGGCCTGACAACGATGTTGTACTGATGTTGGAGAAGAAGGGATTGGATGCAATAATTTTTCCTCCGGTTCTAGAGTTGCTAGCCTTCTGGAACTGCAACTGGAAGGTATGGTATGAGGGCATGTGATCTCCCATCACACCTCTCTCTCTCTCTCTCTCTCTCTCTCTCTCCTTTCCTCCTTTCTTTTTATATTTTTAAACGCCCAATTTTTGTCTTTATTTCTAACCCATATATTGCAAATATACAGAAAAATATCAGTACCAATTTATAATATAGCCAGGCTTATTTACAAACTCTATACATGGCTCCTTTATGTTTCTTCTGCACCTCAGACTGTACATCTTAACAGGGTCTTTTCCAGGGAGTCTTACCTTCTCATGAGGTGGCCAAAGTATTGGAGCCTCAGCTTCAGGATCCGTCCTTCCAGTGAGCACTCAGGGCTGATTTCCTTCAGAATGGAGAGGTTTGATCTTCTTGCAGTCCATGGGACTCTCAAGAGTCTCCTCCAGCACCATAATTCAAAAGCAGCAATTCTTCGGCCTTCTTGATGGTCCAGCTCTCACTTCCATACATCACTACTGGGAAAACCATAGCTTTAACTATACAGTGGTACCTCGGGTTAAGTACTTAATTTGTTCCGGAGGTCTGCTCTTAACCTGAAACTGTTCTTAACCTGAAGCACCACTTTAGCTAATGGGGTCTCCCGCTACCGCCGTGCCGCCGGTGCCCGATTTCTGTTCTCATCCTGAAGCAAAGTTCTTAACCTGAAGCACTATTTCTGGGTTAGCGGAGTGTGTAACCTGAAGCCTATGTAACCCGAGCTACCACTGTATGGACCTTTGTTGGCAAGGTGATGTCTCTGCTTCTTAAGATGCTGTCTAGGTTTGTCACTTTATCATAATAAAACAACCAACGCTCTTATTTCTGCAGGTGACTGGGGTGTTTGGTCAGCGGCGCGGCATCGTCATGGAGTAGATCTCTGGAAAGGAAGCTCCTTCACCCCAAAAAATCACACACACATGATCCTGGAAGATGCTTGCTGCCTGACACAACCCCTGGCGAGGAGTTTTCGCCGTTCTGCTGGGATGGACAACGCCTCGACGCTGGATTACGAGCTCCTGTCCCCGGGGCGAGTGGAGCCCGTCCCCAGCCCTTTCGGGATGGACGCGGAACAGAAGACGGTCTTTGCCTTCGTCATCCTCCTTCTGGCGTTCTTGGTGATGCTGATGGTCCGCTGCTTCCGCATCCTGCTAGACCCTTACAGCCGGATGCCCGCTTCATCCTGGACTGACCACAAGGAAGGACTGGAGAGGGGGCAGTTTGATTATGCTCTGGTATAGCTCGGGCGAGGCCTGATGTCCGAAAGGGGGGAAAACCTTGGCATCTTCTGGAGTAGGGGTTCCTGGGGAAGCGAAGTTGCTGCTCTCAAGGGATGGGGTGGGGTTTTAATTTGGGTGCAGGCAGGGACGGAGGGGGGGAGTTTTCCGTTTCGTGAGGTCGTAAGCAACCACGGGAAGGTGCCGTAGCTGTCAACGTTTCCCTTTTCTTGCGAGGAATCCTATTTGGAATAATAAATAAGGGAAACGTTGACAGCTATGTTTCAAACACGGCATCTGCCGAGCTTCTCAGTGCAGGTGAAATAAATGCTAAACCACACGGTTTCGGGAGAAAATGAAAAGTGCTCTGATCCAAATTGGGTGTGTGAAAATTTGTTTGGAATTTCCTTTGAAATCCGCTTCGCTGGAGAGAGGCTGAGAATCTCCGATCTGATCCAACTCCTTGCCTGTTTTCTGTGTCGCTCGATGGGGGATGAGGCAGGTGCCCCCCTTGCTGTGATCTGAAATGTCTTGTGTCGTGGGGGGGGTAGGGAGTTGTAGGGGGGGGTTGGGGTGGGCAAAGGGTGGGGAAGTGCCATGGGGTGGCGGCGAAGGAATGTTTCAGCAGCGAGGGGCGGAGGAGAGCTCTGAGGTCTCAAGAGAGGAAGGGCGTTGAAGGCGGCTTAATTGGTTTGGATTGGAGACAAATCAAAGCTGTCAACATCCATACCCTCTAACATTTCTCTGATAGAAATAGGGATCTCCTATTGCATAATAGGGATGCGGGTGGCACTGTGGGTTAAACCACAGAGCCTAGGGCTTGCCGATCCAAAGGTTGGCGGTTCGAATCCCCACGATGGGGTGAGCTCCCGTTGCTCAGGTCCCAGCTCCTGCCAACCTAGCAGTTCGAAAGCACGTCAAGGTGCAAGTAGATAAATAGGTACCACTCTGGCGGGAAGGTAAACGGCGTTTCCGTGTGCTGCTCTGGTCCGCCAGAAGTGGCTTAGTCCTGCTGGCCACATACCCGGAAGCTGTACGCCGGCTCCCTCGGCCAATAAAGCGAGATGAGTGGCGCAACCCCAGAGTCGGCCACGACTGAACCTAATGGTCAGGGGTCCCTTTACCTTTATTCCATAATAATAATAATACAGATAACCAGAGCATGCACCACTCTGGCCAGACAGTCTGTGGACAGGTAGGGTCTCATCCTGCGTACCAGATAGAGCTGGTAGACAGCTGCCCTGGGCCCAGAATTGACCTGTGCCTCCATGGACAGTTGTGAGTCCAGAATGATGGAGGATTTGTGGCCTCCAGACCTGGGTGGACTACAAATCCCATCCTCTTTGACCATTGGCCGCGCTGGTTGCTGGGAGTTGTAGTGCAGCCACATCCGGAATGTGCCATGCCAGCTAGCCCCGGTGTATCTTGATGGATGAATGGTCCATGCTGATATAAAGCCACTTCTTGTATGTCTCTGCTTAAGCGCTATTCAGAAGACCGAATTCAGGAAGCAGTGGAAAGACAAGTACCGTATTTTTCGCTCTATAAGACGCACCAGACCACAAGACGCACCTAGTTTTTGGAGGAGGAAAACAAGAAAAAAAATATTCTGAATCTCAGAAGCCAGAACAGCAAGAGGGATCGCTGCGCAGCGAAAGCAGCAATCCCTCTTGCTGTTCTGGCTTCTGGGATAGCTGCGCAGCCTGCATTCACTCCAAAAGACGCACACACATTTCCCCTTGCTTTTTAGGAGGGAAAAAGTGAGTCTTATAGAGTAAAAAATACGGTAATCCATGTGGTTCTGGCTCGCCAAATAAAACAAAACCCTAGCTTGCGCCCGAAAGTAGGAGTGTTTCAGTCTCCCAATCGTGCTGTGAGGCAGTCCTTGTCTCCAGCTTTCTCTTCCACCCATAACTCTTGTCCCAACCAGTTTGCTTTTGTGTTGACCCTGGTATGTCATGTGTGAGTCTGTGGTGTCCAGGCAGCCCAAACCATCTCTGCTCTCTGGGCTTGGGGAGTGTGTGAAGGAGCGTCTTCACCCCCATCGTTCTGGCCAGACACTGAGGTCCAGCTCCGAGGGCCTTCTGGCGGTTCCCTCATTGCGAGAAGTGAGGTTACAGGGAACCAGACAGAGGGCCTTCTCGGTGGTGGCGCCCACCCTGTGGAACGCCCTCCCGCCAGATGTGAAGGAAATAAGCAGCTACCCTATCTTTAAAAGGCAGCCCTGTTCAGGGAAGTTTTTAATATTTAACGCTGTATTGTTTTTAACACTTGATTGGGAGCCGCCCAGAGTGGCTGGGGAAACTCAGCCAGATGGGCGGGGTATAAATAATAATATTATTATTATTATTATTATTATTTATTATTTATTATGTGTGGGGAAAGTTCTCTTGCCCCAGCGAAATCCATCTTGGAACATGAGCCATAGGGATGGTTAGGGAGAAGCCTCCGTCGGCCAGAGTCTTATGCATGCAGAATGGAAAAAAAGAAGTCGTCTCCGTAAAATAGGAAGAACTTTTAAAATTTACGGACTACAGTTGTACTTTGGAACGCCTTGGTACTCAGACGTTTTGGCTCCCGAACGCTGCAAACCTGGAAGTGAGTGTTCCGGTTTGCGAACGTTCTTTGGAACCTGAACATCTGACGGGGCTTCCACGGCTTCCGATTGGCTGCAGGAGCTTCCTGCAGCCAATCAGAAGCCATGCTTTGGTTTCCGAATTTTTGGGAAGTTGAATGGACTTCCGGAACTGCTTCCGACGTGCGGCTGTATTGGAAATGGCAAAGGTGAAAGCAAAAGAAGAGGTCAAGCGCTGAATTTTATACTGAAGAATGAGACCTGTGTTTGTTTGGAAAATATCCTATGTTAAATGGAATCGCCGGCAGGATTAAAATACGAGCAGTGGAAGAAATGCGATTGTAATTGTAACGAAGGAATTGCAGAATAGACGAAAGTACAACGCAGCGTGGAAGGGGGAACTGGAAACACCGCGGAAGAAAGGTCAACGTTTAAATGGGTATCAGATTTGAGGTTCATTTGTTTAAGAAATGGTGAAACACAATAAAAATTGAATGGGAAGGGCGGGGAAGGAACAGGAGTCACAGGGACGGTTAGGGAGTAGATTCCTCCGGCTGTGGCAGAAAACTGGGACAGGGCTGTGGAAGGGAGGGAGGTTCGTATCCTGCAAACGCCCCTTCCCGAGGGGCTCTGGGAAGAATTGTGCAGGCCACAGTTCACCTTTGAGGCGGAGTATTCGGGCCTCTTCTGTGCTGTGTGTTGCGGACAGGGAGCTATTTCTATAAGAAGGGTACCAGCACCTCTTTCGCCCTGAAATAAAGGCTGCCTTTTGTTGCTAAAGCTGCCTGTCGCCTCCTCTTTGATCTCCGCACACACAGCCGTTGCGGAGATATTTTATGCCTGCCCTCCTGTGGATACGTGCAATGTTTCGAAAGGGCTCTTGTGCACTGTCTCTCTGCCCCCCCCCATTTAAAAATTGGCAAATATGACAGAAAATCAATAGAGGTAGATGCACGTGGAATGCTACTGCCAGCTTGCAGTAGCCAGAATAATCCGACTTTGAAATATATATGTGTGTGTTAATAGAGGCAGTCCATAGCGATGCAAAGGATGCGGGTGGCGCTGTGGGTTAAACCACAGAGCCTAGGGCTTGCCGATCAGAAGGTCGGCGGTTTGAATCCCCGCAATGACGGGGTGAGCTCCCGTTGCTCGGTCCCTGCTCCTGCCAACCTAGCAGTTCGAAAGCACGTCAAAGTGCAAGTAGATAAATAGGTAGCGCTCCAGCGGGAAGGTAAACGGCGTTTCCATGCGCTGCTCTGGTTCGCCAGAAGCGGCTTAGTCATGCTGGCCACATGACCCGGAAGCTGTACGCTGGCTCCCTCAGCCAGTAAAGTGAGATGAGCGCTGCAACCCCAGAGTCGGTCACGACTGGACCTAATGGTCAGGGGTCCCTTTACCTTTATGCAAGAGCATGGACGCACCCCGTCTTAAGAGCCTATTTTAGAGATGTCAAGTCCAACAAGGAGAGTGCCACAGACCTTTAACCCAAAATAACTTTATTGCTGCCGTCGCTCATGATACAAAATGAAAAAGTTGCCCCCCCCCGGCGGCCGGGTCTCGGTCTCAGTGCCGTGTGCAGCTGACCCCTCCCCTGCTCCCCCTCCGCCGGTTCCCGGAAGGAAAGTCACGGTCGTGGTGCGGAGGAGATCAGGACCACAACTCTGCACACGCAAACACCACGCCCCTTGGCTAATGGATTACCATCATCATCAATAATAATAATAATAATATTAATAAGAATCGGAGGGAGGGGGAAAAGCACCATTTGGCAAAACCCGAAAACAAGTACGGAAGACGAAACGAGGCAGGAAAGATTGGTTATGAGAGAGGATGTCATGTTGAGAAGTCTGGCTTGGGGCGCCCCCCAAGCCCGCTGTGGACTGAGCTGGGGAGGTCCAGGGGTTTCAAGTTTTAAAGGAGCCCAAGTCCACCTCCGGACACCCATATTTTTTAAACAACAAGGGGAAGGCAGGAATGGGAAGGATCCAGATCGGGACCAGGACCGGCCACCTCCTCCTAGGACAGCCCTTCTCAACCTGTGGGTCCCCAGATGTTGTTGGACTACAACTCCCATCACCCCTAGCTAGCAAGGCCAGAGCTCAGGGATGATGGGAGTTGTAGTCCAACAACATCTGGGGACCCACAGGTTGAGAAGGGCTGTTCTGGAGGATTTGCTCCTCCGGTAACGCCCCAGCTTTGCTCAGTTCCAACAGGGGTGGGTGAACCTGTCAGTTTCAGTCCCCCTCTCTCTCCCCCCCCAATCTTAAATCCAGTTCTCCATATTTCTGCAGCCGTTTGCAACTTCATTTATTTTTTTTTAAAGCCCCTTGTGAAAACTCACCAGCGTTTCGGTGCAAATTTCTTGCACCTAGCTTTGCCCGTTGTTCCAATTAACAGGCGCATTTTCGAAAGCGCTTCCACTTAATGTGAAGTGGGGTTTGGTTTGTGGTTGTTGTTTGGGCTGTTTCCACATATTTGCACACACGATTTGCCTGGAGAACGGTTGCAAAATTGGGAGATGCGCCGATTTCAAAGGATGGCCCTGCTTCGGTTCACGGTATTGGCGCTCGCTGAGATGCAAACGGAATTGAAATTTCTTCCCTTACCCCACAGCCCTAGGCCTGTGTGGACCTCAGGAGACCTAATGGAGGGAAGGCAGAGGTGACAACTGAAGAGGTGTCAAGCAGTCAGAGGACGAGCACAAAAGGGGAAAAAGAAAACCTGAGCAAGATTGCACCCCTGGAACTCCGAATTGGAGAACGGCCACTGTTTCAGGTCCGGTTTTTGCGGCAATGAATTAAAACAGCTGCGGTATTGCCATGGCAAAACCTAAAGCAGGTGTTTCACAACCTTGCTCCCACACCCTCAAATCCACGCGGACTGACATGGCTGGGGGCTTTTGTGAATGAATTTTGTGAACGAATTTCGTAAATGAATGAATTTTGTGAACGAATTCTGTAAATGAATGAATTTGTGAATGAATTTTGTGAATGAATTTTGTGAATGAATCAATTTGTATTTGTGTGGCCCCTGCCACCGCTGTATGGCAGCCGTTATTTTCACCCATTATTCCGCTGAGGCACATTGAGGTTCCTGAGGCATCAGAGAGAGATTCTTGCTGGAAGAGGCGGAGGATGAAAAATATAGCTGCATGAGAAGATGGTGCCCTATGGCACATCCGGGTTAACGCCTGAGTCTGTCGGTCTCCATCCGGGGGGTCTGTGTTGGGCACA